GTAACAAAAATCCTGTAAAAAATATTTGTACCTCCATTATGAAGCATATTCTAGAAAGATTATGGAGATTCGTGATAGATGTGCAAATGTTCATTTTTATGAGTAATATCCCTGGTGTGCAATCATATTCAGTTGGTCGGAATCCTCTTGGCAGCAAAACTACAAAATTGACAGCACATGCAATGCTAGTGTGACTGCAAAAACTTAATCTAATTTCATTTCCATGGATTTAAAAAACCATGATGCATCACGGACATTCAAGTATGAGATTTAATAAGATAAACTATAGATTGTATATGCTGGAATCTGATTCGAATATAATATTTTTTTTATTTGATATGAATAATTGTTAGTATAAACATTTGGATGAAACAAATAATTGAAAATTACTACCACACCAGTAAACATTGTACTAAATCCTTAAGTCTATAACAACATTGTGCTACATTTGTTTGTCAAATAGTTTTTTTTTTTTTTTTTGTGCAATTGGGCATCTAGAAAACGATCCCAAAATGAAAGTGTTGATAATCATGGAGAGAGAGTGTGTAAGAGGTAAAAGTGGGACTATTTTTTATTGAATAAAATAATGTTTTTTTTTTTGCTTCACTGAGCCTGCAGCCCCTGCGGCTGTCGAATGAGGGAGGGGTAGAAGGAAGTGGGAAGAAGTAAGAATTATTATTAAAATGTTTGTTTTGGTTTATCTTTTTGGCCAATTTTGTTTTGGTATGTTGGATTGATAATATATAGTAAGATAGAAAAGCATTATAAATGGGATGTGGGGGATAGAAGATAAGGTTGTGCAACTGTGATAATGCAAAGTAAAAGAAACCAACCCAACAACATGATCTTTCTCCGCTGGATTCTTTTTATCCAATCGAAGCTCTTCTTGCAGAGAACATGTCTCTTTATTCTTGTCTTTCTCATTATAAAATAAAAAATTATTATCAAACATTTTATTATTTATTATATTAATGTCTACTTTTTTCTCTGCTTCGGATTAATTTGTCAATCTCATCAGTTGCTTTGAAATCAAGGTGCTGAAGGGTTTTCTGTGTTTTTTATTGGTTTGCAGAAGAAAAAAAAGAACAGGCAACACCCAACAACATGTAATAGTATTTCCAATGATACATACTTAGATACATTTCCAATGATATCAGGAAATTTTTCCAACAAAAACTTTTATCAGGTATGAAAATGTTTTTAAGTTAGGTTTTGCTTCTGCATGCAAATAATCAATTAACAAATCAAAAGAAAGTTATATTTGAAGAATGTAATCTAAAACATACAATTCGAGCAAAACCGCTTAGCTGTGAAATAATATATTCATGCGTGGTTTCAAAGGTACGTGCATGGATTTCTCAAACCACTGCTCAGAATTTTAAACCCATTTGTCATACCGAGCTGATCTACTGCTTAATTATTTGGCAAAGGAAAAATAACTAGGCTGCCAAGCCAATTAATTCATTGTTGTCTCTTACAAAAATGGCAAAATCAAATCTTCGTCGTTTGTTTTTTTTTTTTTGGGGGGGGTGGGGGGGTTGGCTGTTAAGTGTTAACCCTCATAATTCACTCCCCACGGCTAGCAACTTTCCTTATCGACGTCTACATCATATCCTTTTATGTCCACCGACCGTCCCTACAGCTAGGGATGACAAGAATCTTAAAACCAAAATACGAAAATAAAAAAAAAAAATTGTGGGTTAAATTGGAAACAAAATTGCAGTTTAAAAATACGAAAATGAGTTGGAACTATATAAATTTAAATTTTAAATTTATTGAATGTTATATCTTTTTAAAAATGATTATACGAATAATTGAACTTAGGTTGAAAAAAAAAAATAGACCGTAAGCTGTAAGCAACCAGAAAGAAACCCTTGCACCATTAAGTTCAAGGAGGTAAGATATATTCGTTGTCTGCATTTTTTCCCGTCATTATCTTATCTTTCCATGGATTACAAATGTGGGTTTGAATGGAAATTTTCAACTTTTTCTTTTTTCTGAATAAAAAAATTATCAACTTGGTAGAAAAACATGTTAAGATTTGTGCAGAGAAAGCTGTACCAAACTCAAGAAAACACCGAGCTCTAAGCTGTACAGCACATCGAAAAATATATATATATACAGGGAAACAACAAATACAAAAGCTTTTCCAATTTGTTATAGCACATTGGGGTATCATCATCGTATTTTTTTATGTACCTTTAGGTACATCTTCTATGACAAAAAAATGTTTTCTATTGAACAAGTTATAATACAAATAATTTCATTTCTTAATGAAAAAAATAACAAATACTATATATACTTGAGTACCCTTTTTAATTTAATGATCATATCACGAAATTCTCTTTGTTTTGTAAGAACATTATATGTTTTTTTTTTTGAAAAAATAGTTTAAAAAGATAAAATCATGAGAGCAAGTCAGTTTAATTTTCATAGTAAACAATATTTTATAATAGATGCAATTCAATAATTCTTATATTATCAATATTAATCCATTGCATCAATAAAAATTAAAATTTAACTTAAACTTTTTTTAATTTATATAAAATTAAAATAAAACACTAATGAAAACAATATTTTATAAATAAAAAATAAAGGTTAATGATTTTTTTTATTCAGACATAAGATATATCATTAATTTAAAATTAATTAATTTGATTTAACACGAAATTTTATATAAATCAAAATGCAAACACTCAAAATTTTCAACGTGAAAAACTTATCTACTGTGAGACATGAATCTCACAACATTCAAATGCTACCTCTGGTGAATTCGTTATTGGCAGCTCGCAAAAGCAAACACCCATTTTGTATTTTTTATTTGGAAAAATATACACTGTTAATTTAAAATTGATTGATTTAAATTAATACGAAACCCACCGTGAAAATCTCGACATGTACACATTCAAACTTTCCGAATTGGGAAGTCAGGATAATGATTTTAAGAGCTTAAGTAGAGCGGATGAGGCAAATCCAGCACATGAAGCAGGTTGGCGTCAGAAACCTGATCCATCTTGAAAAGCGTTCCCCTTCTCAACGGAGGAGAGTGATAAAGGAATGAAAGGAAGGGGTTGGTTTAGGGCTGTCTCAGAGAAATTCAAGATAAATGGGCAACATGTAGAATAATACAATAAGGGTGCAGCCCCACCACTTGACCCTCGCCACCTGGGCATCTCGAATGTATCCCCATGGCACCCAGTTTCCCACACCGCCAAAACAAAAAAAAAAAAAAAAAAAACTCATTTATAAAGTCATCTGGTGCGATTTGGGACCGCCGCCATGTTAGTGCGGGGATTTTTGGTTTTGGTTAATTTTAATTTCAAAGAAAAAAAGAAAGTTAATTTTAAGGCGTTTTTAAATTTTAAATTTTTAAGTTTTTTTTAATGATATAGTTATGACATTTTTAAATTTTGTTTGAATTTAATTTTTTTATAAAATTTTAAGGACGTATTGTCATAAATTAATACGGTGCATTCTGATTTTATTTTTAAAATATTTTTTCAAGAATTAAATCTTTAATGATAAAGAACTTTTTTCCTTTTTAATTTAATTGAAATTTATGAAATTTATTTTTTTAAGATTTAATATATATATATATATATGTATATGTGACTTTCAATAGCGAAATAATGATTCATGCATGCACCATTCAAAGCCACTTATTGTATTCACTGGAAGTAGAGTTGTTAGATATGAACCCTTCAAATATTGATGGACCCACAAATTTTCTCATCAAACCTCATTGGAGCTTTTGAGGATATTTGCAATTTTTTTTTCTTTTTTTTTTTTTTATTTTGTTTGGTAGGAAAGAAAATAGTCCTTTTTCAATCTTCATTATTGGCTTTACAAAAGCGACTTATTCAGATTTCCTACACTGTATCGTTTTGTTTCTGTTTTGTAGTTCATTTTATACAACTTGTTGATGATGGCTACCCAAAAAAATATTACAGTATTTGACAATTCATTTATATGTTACTAATATAGGATTATTCCTCCTCAATAAGAGAGACTTCCGAGAAGAATTTACGGTTTGAATTCAAATCAAATTAAAAACCTAGGAAAAGATAATTTTTTATGAATTCATTAAATTAATATAAAAGTTTATTTGAATTGATTTGAAAAAATTATTAATTGCAACAAAAAATAAGATTATTCCTCTTAACAATAAATTCATCAATAAGTTCATCGTGTTTATTAAATTCATATTTTTTTTATAAAAAAAAATTTGAAGTAGATAAATTGTTTAATTTTTCAAGAGATAAAATATGTCGTATCTGACAATATAAGATAAGTGATTATAAATCGTGCATTTCAAATAATCTCAACAAATAGTTATCAACAAGACTCCAATCTAAAAGCTCTTTATCGAAAAAAATAAACTTTAATCAATTGAACCAAATACTTATTAGTATTAACTTTAGATTTTACCATATATAATAGAGTCTAGAAAACATGAAATATTTTTTTAATATACAGAAAATGGTTAATTTTTAGTTGTCCAGATAAAATGTGTCAATTAGGGCATGCTTCATGATGTATTTCAGTGTTGCAATCATAATAAGTAGCCCATATTGTTCCAAAAATAAAAGAAAACAAACAAATTAATGACACAGGGAAAACAAACAAAAGTTCAACAACTTTGTGAAATTTTAATAATTATAATAATATTATTACGAAAAAGGATTTTAATATATTTATATAATATCCAGACACTTGTTATATAAACATATATCACTATTTTATTCCTTTTTTTTTACCTTCTCTCAGTACACTTTGTAGTTTGTGAATAAGTTGTATCTATTACTTTTCCTTAATTCACTGTCACTGCACATTCTGATAATACTCCTAGTCTTACATTCTTCTCTTATATCTTCCCCATCCCTCATTCTATCAGTTTTCTCTCACTTCTAGCTCTGCTTTATATACTTACTCAGTTTTTTCCTCTTCCTTCTGATCATATATAACTGAGAGAGAAAGTGAAAGAAAGAAGAAAAATAGCCATGGAAATTGACCAGTTAAAGTCTGCAACAGATCAAGATGAGATGGAGATGATGATGATGGTGCAGATGGACAAGATCCCCGAATTCTACGGTACCTACAACGATGTCGTAGAATTGGCTCCAGCTGAGCTTGCTGGTGCAAGCAATGGTTCCAATAATGGCATCAGTGCCATGACACATTTTGTTCAAAACCCACAGGTTGGTTCACCCCCATTCATAAACCTCCCAAATACTATTCCGTTCACTGGTTCAACCCCGGTTCAGGAGCCAGGAGCTCCAGGTTTCTTGTCTAGCCCTGGCAGTGTAAGATGGAGAGGAACTGCAGGGGAATTATTAGTTTCAAATGCTTTTTCTACACCTTCCCAGAAGAAGAATTCAATGGCTGCAATGAGGGAGATGATCTTCCGAATTGCAGCCATGCAACCAATTCATATAGACCCTGAATCTGTTAAGCCACCAAAGAGAAGGAATGTAAAGATATCGAAGGATCCTCAAAGTGTGGCAGCAAGGCACCGGAGAGAGAGGATAAGTGAGAGAATAAGGACACTTCAAAGACTTGTCCCTGGAGGAACCAAAATGGACACTGCATCAATGTTAGACGAGGCAATTCACTATGTCAAATTTTTGAAGAGTCAGGTTCAGTCATTGGAGAGAGCCGCCGCTAACAGGCCAACTGGGATAGGGTTCCCTGTGGCAATGTCAAATGGGAGCTTCCTTCCAATGGGAAAGGCATATCAAACTACTCAAAACCTTCAGGAATTTGGAGATGCTTAGAAGATAGCTCAATAAAACAAGAGTCGTAGTATGAACTCATTTTTCTAGTGAATCTGTTGAGAGTTATTCGAATGTAAAAAAACTAAAAACCAGATAATCATGATCATTGATCATCATCATCATCATCATCATTGTTAATTCTCTTGATGTTTAGGCCATGTAATCCATGTTGTATTGCTATCAAATTCAAATCCATGAATAGAAAGCCCAGCTGTTCAAAGAACATTTAATCAAAAGTTCTTAATAGAATACATATTTTCCATGCATCTCTCTCTCATATAAATTTGTAAAATTGATGCCCATTGGCTACCTATCTTATAAGCATCCATAGCTATTAGAAATGCATAATTCTCTCCAGCAAAACAAAGAAGAAAAAGCAAACAACGGGACCAAAACTGCCGAATCCTAGACAAAAATAAAGAGCAACGACAGTTGCACATTGGCGAAGAGTTTCAGGTTAAGGTCATTGGAAACCAAAAACAATTATCTTTGTGGAGTTGACAGGCTATGCGAAAGACTATATCTTTGTGTACGATGTCTGCTATGAAAAATCTTGAGCTATACAAAAATTGAGACCTTAATTTGGCTTCGGTGGCGTGAAAATTCCAGGCTATTGACGTAATTTATGGACACACACCCAAGAATATACAGTCTTCTAGTAATTAATTTGTAACACGTGCTGACATATCACACGTGTCAAAATGAAAATTTCAAGGAACCAAATCGTTTATGAACTTCCAAGTCATTTTCGGGGGTAAAGAGAGAGTTGGTTGGATGAGAAATGCGTGGGGAAATCCACGTGAAAGACTGACAACGCGGTGGGGCTTATAATAATAGTAATAATATTTATATAATAGAAAGAAATGTGGCAAATTGATGACATGGTTTTCCCTCAACACCTCTTCACGTGATACTCAAATCTACTAGGTCAACTAGCTCTCCTACGTGTCTCTCCACGTTGGACCCCTTCCTTCCTAATTAACTAACTCCTCACAATTAATTTCCCCCGTCCCCTTTCAAATCTTACTTCGTTCCTCCACAATTTAATTCTCTAAATTGTACTCGAGAATCATAAAACAGGATTTATGTTTAAGGGAGTGAGAAAATGGGAGAGGTTCAAATAAATTAAATGTTTATTTGAATTCAATCATATTTTTAATATGATATGATTGAATTTATCATATTATTAATTAAATTTAAATATTAATTATAATAAAATTTATTTAATATAAATTTTTTATTAAAACTTTTTTAAATCATAATTATAATTATTATAATTATTTTTTTAATCTTATCACATATGATCTCACAACTCGGGAGCTTAAAACGTCATTTTCTTAACATGAGATTTTGGTAATCGGTAGTACAGTGAAAGTGGTGCATAAAAGAAAAAGGATGTCAACTTTGTTGTGGACTGGGCTTTTAACGCATCAGAACATTGTCTGGAATTGTGGACGACTGGCCCTCTCAGCGTTTTAACCATCTAGACAAATCTTTTAATGCTAATAAACCAACCAGGGCTTTACAATTTTCATCTTAACTTCGATGATATAGTCAAACACACCTCCCACAGCTTTTCTTTTTTTTTTTGGGGGGGGGGGGGGGGGGGGGTGGAGGTGGGGTTGGGTTTAGTTTTGAAACAGAAAACTAGTTTTGGAAGCATAAGAAACCAAAGGCAACACTGCCCAATGTTAGCCAGGATGATGTTAAAAGAGTAGGTTGCCTCCCCATGCAAGACCGAATTAGAGAAATGCTAATGTTTCCAGCATCATTCATGCCTCATCAGAAGCCATTTATTCCTCCTTACCCCGAATCCAAATCCAATCTAACTCAATCTAGGAGATATAAAACAAAAATTAAAATAAAATAACTGAAGAAAAAGAAAGCTAAGGGGCGGGAACAGATATATAATATTAAGAAATGGTCAAACATGTTTATCTGAAAACCCATGTGCGATATCCCACCAAGGTCCAACATTAGCACATCGAGTGATTACCTCATTTCAGCCAAGGGGAGCCCCCTTGTCCTGAAAATTCAAGGCATAAACCCATCCAATCCCTAGCTGCCACTGTATGTTTGAAGACAATGCATTTAATATCCTGAAATATCTTATGGGACGAAAGATGCATGAAAAAAAAAATGATACTATATGGATTCAAGATTGCAGAAATGGGAATTTTGAAGCAAGTTCAAGTAAGGTTGTTCTGAGGATGGAAGAAAGTGACCATTAGAAAAGAACAACCACTTGTCATACCAATATCTTTGCTTAGCAAACACTGTATTATAGTTTTTGGTCTCAAACTTAATGTTTTGTTTCTGATACGGTATGATGTAGTTTTATTTATGAGCCATGAATTTTATAGAATGATTCATGTTCATGTGCGACCATTGGCTTAGCATTCTCCCATATATGAATAATTGATTTCTACATCAAGAGCATATATATCAATATCACAATCAATATGAGACCAAAATGGAAAATGTTCTGATACCAATTATAATAGTAAAGTACCAAGTATTAATGACTTTAGCATGATTTTAAGCTGTCATCACTCGTCACCACAAGTGGTTCAAATTTACGGTCATAGACACGCTAATTTGTTTGGGTTCTATTTAGATTAATTTTATTAAAAGATAAAATAATAAAAAATAAGTTGTTGAATTTATATGAAATTGTTTGAATTGAATTTGAGTTGAGATTCAAAGGAAATTAGGATTCTTTTCTGAATTGGGGTTCTTTAGATTATTCCCTATAAATACAGACCTTAAGTAGACCTCAAGAAACACACAGATCACACAAAAAAATAAAGAGAAAAATACATACAAGAAGGTAAAAAAAAATACGACAGAGGGCAGGGAGATCAATAACATCAAAAAAAAATTTTGAGGATTTTTTTTTAAAATCTGAAAATTTCTCAGATTTTGACAAGTTTTTTTAGTTTTCAGTGAATTTTTCAATATCGGTTGAATTTTTTGGTAGGTTTTCAAGAATCCGATTGAAGATTTCGACGAAGTTTAAATTTTTTAATGAATTTTCAGCGAACCAACCTAGATTCCAATGAAATTTCCAAAATTCAATGAAGATTCTACCAGAGTTCTTCAGGTTTAGAGAGAGAAGGAAAGAAAAGAAAAGAGGAGAGAGAAAGGGAAAGAAAAATCTAACAAAAAAAAAGAATTTAGCTTTTTATAATGCTGTCAAACGATATCGTTTTGGGCATTTAAGAAACCCAATATCCACTTGTTTCCACTCTAGCCAACCTAACCTGAGTGCAACCCGCTCCGCTAACTCGTGTCCTAACCAAACTCTTCAATCGAGCCGAGTCAAATCGAGTTTTGGAGCTGTTTTTTGTGCCTGAAGCTAAACTTCCCTGAGCCACTCCAGCCAAGCCATTTCTTTTTAGTTTTTTTTAATTAATTAATTAATTTATTTATGTGTTTGGTGGTATTTTTACATGATTAAATTTTAAGAAAAATAAAAAAATAAAATAAAATATTTTTTAAGAATAAATACTAATTATCTAATTATGAAATTTTAAAAAAATTTAAATGGTAAATTTTTATAAAATTTCTATGTGAGAAATTTTTTCTAAATTTACCCAAACAGTAGAATAATTTAGATAAAATTTCAATAACAATAATTAATATTTATCTTCAAACAAAAAAAAGAGAAAAAATAATAATAAGTTAAAATTAAAATTTTTTGTTGAAAATATTTGACAATTATCAAATGATGAGATTATTAGAAATTTTAAATGATAAATTCTTAAGAAATCTCTAAGTGAGAAATTTTTTTAAATTTGTCCCAAATGGTGGAAGAATTTAAATGAAATTTCAATGAAAAAAATTCATATTATTTTCTTTCCAGAAATTAAAAAAAAATTCTAAATAGGCTCAAAATAGTAAAAAATTTAGAAATTAAAAAAAAAAAAGATATTTCTAATTTGGTCCAAATGGTGAAATAATTACATATATTTTCAACAAAAATCAAAATAAAAAAAATAATTAAACTTTTTTCCTACGACGAAGCCTCTTTAAGAAAATGAATGAGATTCTTGAATACTCTTGAGGTGAAAAAATATTTTTAAGAACTATATCAGATTGATGAAGAATCTTAAGAATTATTTTCAACATTCAACATTAAAGATTAAAACCATTAAAATCAAGACCTTAAGATAATTTAAAATAAAATGGTATAATTCTTTAGATAGGCATATGAAGGTGCTATAACTTTCGCTACATGTAATCGAACTCCCGAACCTAGTTCTGATTAGTAGACTATAATCTATTTTTTGAAGGACCCTTAGTCAAACTTAGGAGTTCCTTAAAAAGATATATTTATTAGGTGATCAATCACACCTAATTAAAAAAAATTTGTGAAGACTCCATTTGTTAAGTTTAGTTATAAATTTTCAGATGATCTATATGTTATGACAGTTTGACGATTCCACTGAGGACATGCTAGAGAGTCAGGCCATAATATGTTGATTTTATCCTATCTTTTAATCTAATGGTTTTAAATTGTAATTATTTATTTACTAACATTTTTTTTGTCTCTTATTTGATTTATGGGGTTGTTGACAATTTTATATTTCTTCACATATACTATCACATACATTCGTATTATATGAGCTTTATATACGGACTCCATCCCTTTTAGGAGGGAGTAAAGTACATACACTCTTGTGAAATAATAATATCCGTAATGGCTAGTTAAATACTCTTACTTAAATTGAATCTTTTTCGTTGGTAACCTGTGATGGATGAGAATTGGACTGTCTTACTAGTCTGTGATGAACAATGATGTAAGGAACAATTTGAAAACCTTTAGTGGTCAAAGTCACCTAACCCTGCATATAGTTTACACTTAAGAGGTCAGCCTTAAGATAAAGTTATTTTACTTATTGAAAGATGTAATTCAAAGTTATGACACAAGAAGGAATAATTCGTGTGATATATTGATTATCTAACCATTTTGTTTGCTTGATTTTTTGCATTTACATCATTTCAATATCATTTAATTTCATGCATCATTTTCATCATCATATTTAACATTGTCATTTGCATCATTCTCATATAGAAAAT